CAAATATATAAAGAACTGAATCAAATTTTTAAGAATACAAGTCATTGACCAATTGATAAATGGTAAAAGAATGTGAACAGGTAGTTTTCAGATAAAAAAATCAAAACCATTTATTAGTCATTTGAAAAAATGCTCTAAATCACCATTGATTAGAGAAATGCATATTAAAACAACTCTGAGGTACCACCTCACATCTATCAGATTGGTTAATATGACAGAAAAGGAAAATGATAAATGTTGGAGGGGATGCAGGAAAACTGGAACACTAATGCACTGCTGGTTGAATTGTACACTGATGTGACCATTCTGGAGAGTAATTTGGAACTGGCCAAAGGACATCAAATTGTGCATACCCTTTGATCCAGCAAAACCACTACTGGGTCTGTAATCCAAAGAGATTAAAAAAGGGAAAAGGACCTATATGTACAGAAATATATAGCAGCTCTTTTTTTGTTGTGGCTAAGAATTGTAAATAGAGATGCTTATCGATTGGGCATTGAACAAGTTGTGGTATGTGATTGTAATGGAATACTATTGTGCAATAAGAAGTGACAAGCAGTATGATTTCACAAACTGATGCAGAATGAAGTGAGCATAATGAGGAAAACATTATGCATAGTAACAACAATGTATACTACGAACAACTCTGAATGACTTAGTTATTCTTAGCAATACAATGCCTCATGACTCATGATGAAAAATGCTACCTTCCTCCAGGGAAAGAATGATGGCATCTGAACACAAACTAAAGCTTGCTTCCTTCCTTCTTTTGTTTTCTTCCACAAAATGACTAATATGGAAATATTTTACATGATTGCATGTATGTGGCCTAAATCAGATTGGTTAACTTTGTGGGAGGGGAGAAGGGAAAGAGGGAGGGATAGAATTTGGAACTCAAAACAAAAAAAAGCCCAACGAATGTACAAAATTATTTTTATATGTAATTAGGGAAAAATACCATGTATAAGGGAGGGGTGGGGAAGAAATAAATATTTATACTATTAATTTAAAAATAGCACAATTTAAAAAAGACATAAGACACAAACATACTCATTGTTTATTTGCAATATGTGTTCAAAATATATAAGATATTACTACACATACATATACACACACTGTGGAAATATCTGTTCATATTAGTTAAATCTGTTTAATAGAAACCATCTTGGAGAAGAAGAAATAGCATTGATTTCAAAGTTTTTTTTAAAATCAAGAATGGAGTGGGAAAGAATCTGCCAGGAAATTTAAATTTGAAAACAAATACCTCTTCTAGAGAACTTTGCTTTAAAAATATGACTACTTAAGACACATTTTCCTTTTCTTTTATGTCACTTTTCATTAGAGCTTGTGAAAATTTAAAAAAAAACTATTGAGTTTCTATGCAAGATATATGTTCTGTTTCCACTTCAAATGTAGTTTTTCTTCTTAAGTGTAGTGGAAATGTCCATAAATGAGTCAGAGAAATCCCTACCTAGTGCAGATATATAAGCTCCTTAGGCATTGCCTTTAGACTACTAGGAACCATTGTTTGGAGCCGGGAAGGTACTTAGCCAAGCATGACACCATTTTGTAGCAATACTGGGTGAACACTTTCATTCTGGGTATTAGAGACAGGTACAGGTGGTATCCTGTGGAGCATTGCCCTGCCAGATAGATCTCTGACCTCAAGGCCCCCTTAGCACAGGTTGAGCACCATATTGTGGACTATTGGGGCTGTGGCTCTCTCCTATTTCCGTGCTCTTCAATATAGGGCTGACCATAGCCCCAAGTCTGGCCATCAGTGACTATCCTTGCTTATCTTTGCTGCTATTATAGGGTCAGAATTAGGTGGGGGGAAGAAGAGCACCAGTGGACAAAGCCTGTGCTATGTAGGACAGGGTAAGAAGTTCCTTGGTCCTCCCTCCCCACCCCCTTCCCTTTCAGTGAGCTGGAATGGGAACAAGGGTGCCTACGTACCTTCTTCTAAATAGTGGACTTTGAGGTAATTTCCTCTTTGCCTCATGCTAGTTATGGCTCTGGTCACAGTCACCTCCTTTCTCACAATTTAGGAAGTAATAATCTCTCTGAAAACTGCACAATTGGCTTTTTTTCAGCATTCCCCAAAAATGAGGCCTTGGGGCAATCACTGTATCTTGGGAATCAACCCTAGTTGACCAGTCTCCTTCAAAATATTCTTAATCATATTGAAAAGCCTTTCTGTTATGTGATTCTTCACTCATTTAATGAAAAACAAACAAACAAACAAACAAGCAAAAACCCATTCTATTCCAGGTCCCCAAACACTGTATTTTAAAAACCTTAGTACTACTGAAACTCTACCGAGCTCATAGATGTATCCTAAAACTACAAGTATTTGAGAGAATGAGTCTACTCTCTTATTTTATGTGAAATATCTGGTTTTTGTGCAAAGTCAAAATTTCCTTGGAAAAAGAACAAATATATGCTATGTGGTGATAAATGTAATGAAGATCCACGTGTAAATCAGTTTTTTAAATGCAATTTTGTATTATGGGAACAATATGCACCAGTATATGCTTAGATGGGCCCTTGAGACAAAGGTTTAAGGATCCTAGGTTGTCTTTGGGTTGAATTTCAGTAAACTTGGCTTCAAGTTTGTCTTCTGACTGAACTGCTTCTCTGGCAAATAAACACAGAATATATCTCTTTGAACAAAGTTGTAATCCAGTGAAGTCAAGGATTAAGTTGCTGAATTTACTCCTTTAATTATATCACATGATATTAAAAACAACAAAACAAAATCACTAAATCTTGAAATTATTTAATAAAAATGTTGTTGTTCAGTCATGTGACCCCATTTGGGGTTTTCTTGGCAAAGATACTTAGTGGTTTGCCATTTTACAGCTCCAGCTCATTTTACAGTTGAGGCAACTGAGGCAAGCAGGATTAAGTGACTTGCACAGGATCACATAACTAGTAAATGTCTGAGGTCAGATTTGAACTCAGGAAGATGAGGCTTCCTGTCTCCTGCCCCGGCACTCTATCAGCTGTACCACCTAGCTGTCCCAACAGAAACATTGCTGCAGTACAAAACAATACTTAAACTATAGGATTCTAAAGTAGCATATAAAAGAATATACTGCATAACAGAACAGACTACCTAGCATCTATCTAGACTTAGTTGGAAAATCTAAAACATCATACTATGTTTAGACACTTTTGCTTTAGCTAGGCTATTGAAGTCAAATTTGCTTACTAATTAAATTAATCGAGCATCTAAATAAAAAAGGGGATACAATTCATTAATTGTATAAATAATCTGCATTGTGCTAGCCAGTTACATGTTGTTTAGTAAAGATTTCCTCTTCTCTCCCTTTTAACAAATTTAATTTGTCTTATCTTTCACAAATATAGCTTGCATATTTTTTCTAGGCTTATTAATAATGTGATTGACAGAAACAGCTTATCCATTTTTACCAACTCTTCCAAAGTTGTCTTTCTGGTTGCACATTTGCAAATAACAAAAGGTGAAAAGGCATATGCCTTGAAACCTAAAGGTCATTGTTATTTTCTTTCATTTGAAAATGAGGCTCAGTATTTTTTAAACAAATATTTTATTTATAGATACTGTAGTATCTAGTTTTTATGAAGCTTTTTATTCAAATGAAAAGATACATTGATACCAACATCTTATACATCAGACTCTGAGAGATTAATTTATTTTCTTCAGAACTGTGCCTCTTTGTTACAGAAATTAGTGAAAATGCCACTGATAAATCTAATAGAGCACTTTTTTTTTTTAGCTAGGCAATGAGGTTAAGTGCTTTGCCCAGGGTCACACAGCTAGTAAGTGCTATGTGTCTGAGGCCAGATTTGAACTCAGGTCCTCCTGAATCCAGGGCCGGTGCTCTATCCACTGGGCCACCTAGCTTCCCCAAGAGCACTTTTTAAAACAAATAAATTAAGGCACAAAATTCTATGTTTAAAATACTGTATTTCGACTCAATCTTTTAATAATCGAATACCAACTTTTCAAATACAAAAGCTCACAGAAATGAAATAAATATTGACAAAAAAATGGAGATGCATCTTTTTCATTAACATTGGATGTTAATGAAATTGGAGAGAGCTGAGAATCAAATTGACTTGGCAAGCCTTGCTGAGTTATTTTTCAATGTAGCCGACTGGCAGATGAATGTGATAATTCATCAAAGATTGTATTAAAAAAGAAAATATTTCACTACCTTGTTTTGTAAATTAGCAGGTATCCACAACAACTAAATAACACTAAAGACTAATGGAATTTAATGGACTTGGACTCGACATAGAAAAATATACCTGAATGACTCTGGAAACTAGATTATAGATGCCAAGGAAAAAGTCTGATGTCCAACAGATTAGCCTTCTGTACTTAAGCTTTCCCTGATGATAAAATAGAAATCATTTATAAAAACTACCCCATTTTTGGAGAGTCTGGCTCCGTATTTATACTAAACATGTATTATCATGCATTTTCAAATTTTTGCATGAAATTTGCTATAAAGATGAAATGCTATATATAATAGAACCTCACTGTAGTATCAATCACAAGTATATTAAGTCCAATAAAGCAGGGTCTAGCTTGGGTGACATTCAGGGACTTCTGATTTTTGAGATAACACAAAATAACTTATATAAGGTTTTTGAAAAATCTACAAGGCAGTTCTGTAGCATGAATCCCAAATATGTTACACGAAGCACTGACTGCCTTTTACATTTTTTTGAGTATCTCTAGAATTTATCATAGTGCCTGGCATACAGTACGCATTTAATAAATGTTTATTGGCTGACTGACAAGTTGAAAGAAAGAAAGTTGATACTTGGTTGACAATTTAATAATATTAAGAAGCCCTTTAATGAAATTTTCATGTTCACTAAGAGAATATAGAATTACCAGAATATTACAGATCACATGAACATATCTTGTTATGAAGCACTAGAAAGAAAAGAGAACAAAATATACAAAAGCATAAAATGTAGCAAATTATATGAAAGAAACTTACGGTTGTTGTGTAAGCAGCTTCTGGGTCATCTTCTAGTACTCGAGAGAGACCAAAATCAGATACTTTGCAAACTAAGTTGCTGTTGACTAGTATATTTCGAGCCGCAAGATCTCGATGTACATAACCCATATCAGAAAGGTACTTCATACCAGATGCAATCCCTCGAAGCATACCAACCAACTGAATAACTGTGAAGTGGCCATCATGTTTCTGAAAAGAAATCATATGGGTTAAAAGTAATTTATAGATCCTAGGGTATTAAAGATCATTTATGGCCTGTGTGGCACTTACAAGAGAACATTAATTTTTAGAAATATCTCAATGAAAAAAAGGAAAGGGGAGGAGAATCCATTAGGATCAAGGTTCTTTTCCATTTCATTCTGATTGAAGGGGGAAAAATAGCTTAACATTTAAAATGGGGAGAAAAATTTAGTTGGACATGACCAAAGAAATCTTCCTAAAATATAACAGAGAAACCAGTAAAAGAAGAAAGTGAATTTCAAGAAGACACTTTTTAATAGCTGAGTCATGGTGAAGAGGATATCATTGAGATGACAATATAGTAGAAAAACACTCTTTGGGGAACTAATTCTCTTTAAATAGTTATGGTCTCTTGAATCAAATGCACCATTAAGTAGGAAGAAAGTAAGTGTAGCCGGATGTCAAATCAGTTAAATCCAGAACTGTACAAAGACCAAAGACAAAAAGGAAATTACATAAAAAGCTGCCAATGAAAACTTAGGCCAGGTCACAAAGGACAAATAAAAAGTAATAGTATGATTGTGTGGCGACAGGCTCAGGGAAGCTAAACTGAAAAAGGATATATAGTTTGTTAGCTTCAAGAGACTGAAAAGTTTACAGAGCAACATGCTTCATTACATAAAACAAATTAGTAGACAAAGAAAGTTGATGATAAAATTGTCTTGCAAAAGAAGAAAACGTACCTTTAGGTTTCCTTTGGAGGGAACAAAGAAACAGTGTGGAGTCATTGAGAATCAGCCAAGTTTAAGTCATGCTTCTAACACATCCTTGCTGTATGACTCTGGTCAAGTAAGTTAAACTCTCTGCTCAAGTAAGTTGCTATAGGCAACACTCTAAGACTATAAGTTGTAAAGAAGGCACTGAATGGTATTGGTAGAAGGCATTTATTTAACTGGGAGTTTCTGTGGCAATGAAATCACAGGTTCAGTCCTTGTTCCCATACCTTGGAGGCTACATGTAATGGAAAGAATGCTACACTTGGAGTCAGCCAGCCCAGATCCGAGATATGGTTTCATGTATTTGTGTAACCCTAGGAAAGTTAATTTAACATTTCTGAGCCTTAGTTCACTTATGTATAAAATGAGGATAGTTGGATTTCTATTCCCTGCCTCATGGGATTATTGTGAGGATCAAATTAGGTAAGGTGTACATATACAAGGTTTTGTAACAGGGCAAATTACTATTCATGAAAACTCTGGAAAAAATAAACAATGTTTGTCCTGACAAACAATGTATTCTAAACACATGAATTAGAATGATTAGATGCACAAAATATGTGGTTGAGGAATAAAAGGGAATAACTAAAATAATGTTATGATTTATGTTCTGAAACTAATTCATTAAGACAACTCTTGTGTTCTAGGCAATGTAATAGATGTATAGGGACACGAAAACAAAAACAAAAGCGAGACAGTCCCTATTCTATTGAGGAAGACTATAGCTACATAATGATCATAAGGTTATTATTGTTGTTGTTGTTTTGCTGGGGAAGGTAAATAAGTCTCAGATCCCTAAATGTAAATAGTCACTATACAAGCTTGATAGTTTTGATAGTCAATATAATGTTTTTAATAAAACATTTAAAATAGTGCATTATGAGTTTAGTATTCTTAAGGTAAGAGAGGAACACAAGAAAACTTCATGCTTTTAAGACCTTCTTTGCTGGTTTTACAACCCATGATTTCAGACTGAATAGCTGATTAAAAACAGAGAGCTCTCCAGTAGCTCAGACACATGATAAAGAGCAACTTCAGTATCTGCGCAATCTAAAGCAGCTTTCAAAGATTAATTACAAATAAAGAGTACCTGAGCTACCAAAGGAATCTGACTCCACAGTTGTCCTATAAACTTTGTCTGTTCCATGCAACAATGATGTATTGATCAGTTTAATGAATAAAGCTATTGCTGTAAATGAACAAAGAAACTAGGCAATATACTATCTTATCTCCCTAAAATCATTATGATAACATCTCTCAACTCAAGGGGATACTAAGGAAATGAATAACCTTTTAAAAGAAGGGAGACGTTTTTCAGCAAAGTGATCCATTTAGATTTCTCCTGTATAATTAATGTAGAAAAGATAACCCAGAGAGGGAAAACTTTGGTGTTATTAGCTTTTTATGTTTCTAATACATCTTCTGAGACAGAGCACTACGAGACAAAAAACTATCTCTTCTATAAAATAGTATACTTGCCTCTGAATTATGAATCCCCAAATCTTTGAATGGAATTGAAAGCATAGATTCCTTTGGGATGGAAAGGACTAAGATATGTGTAAAGGGGTAGTGCTGTTGCCTATTAAAAATGTAGTTGTGTTGCATCATGGCTGATGCAGAATATGCTGCTTGGTCAATTTCAATCAACTTTTACAGGATTCAAAAATAGCAAGAATTATGAATTCAAACAAATATTAAATATCCACTGGGTGGAGGGTCTTGTGCATTGAGGATAAACAAGGCATAATTCCTTTTCAGTTAAGACACTTTCAATTTAGTATCTGAGGATGAGGTAGGTATGGAGGTATTGTGGTATTTTTGTATGGTTGCTTAATGAATGATTGCTAATACAGGCACTATGAGATACATAGGTGAAGAACATAAAGAATATTTCAAGATAATTAAAGATCATGCCCACTGGAGTGAGTGGGTAGTTTGGGAATAGAAATTAGGGAATAAACTTTGTGGATGTGTAAGTACTGAGACAGCCTTGGAAAATGGTTAACATTTCATTAAAAATGGAGATGAGATTGATGAAGAAAGCGTTCCAGGCATAGGAAATGGTAAACAAAGGTGTGGAGACAAGATGAGAAGGGAACAGCTTTCCCTTTGGGGGCAACCAGTACAATCTAACAACAACAAGAAGTCAATCTAATCTCCCTCCTCACTTCTGCTTCCTGTCTTCCTTAGCTTCCCTTCAAGTCTCAGCTAATGTCTTACCTTCTGCAAGAAGCCTTTCCTGGTCCTCTTAGTGCCTGGAGACAACCTGAAATTTAGCCTCTGTGTATCTTGTTAGTACATAGTTGTTTGCATGTTGCCTCTCCCATCACACTGTAACATTTTAGAGAACAGGGACTGTTTATTACCTTTCTTTGTATCCTTAGAAGTTAGCACAATGCCTGGAACTTAGGGGGTGCTTGATAAATTCTTGTGGTTATTGATTCTTCTATTTGACAGCCCTTTACACACACACACACACATGAAATACATGATATATATTAAAACATATATGAGAAACATATATATGAAAAATATATGAAATATACGATAATATATATATATATTTTTTCTCTCCACTGTCTTTGCCTTTCTGATTATCTTCATCTGGGTACTTTCTAGCATTCTTCTTATACAACAATGCCCAGAACTGAGTTCTTTAGATGGTCTGATCAGGTGAAACACTGTCATCACTCACATTCTGGGCACTTAGTGTAGTCTAAGATCATGAGGTCTTTTTTTTTTAGCTGCAATCTATTGTTCACTCATATTGAAAAAAATGTCTCAAATCTTTTCCATATGAAGTGCTATCTAGCCTTGTCTTCCTCATCTTGCATGTATGAAGTTGATTTTGATTCCATGTGAAAACCTTACATTTATCCCTATTAAATTTCATCTGTTTAGATTTAGTCCAACAATCTGTATGTTGAGAATTTCTTTTGGATCCTGTGTCCTCCAAAGTGTTGAATATTTCTTGTAGCTTTGTGTTACCTTTGAATTTGATAAGCATAATATCTAGCTCTTTATCCAAACCTTGGATGAAAAGAATGCCATGTTAAATAGCACAAGAACATGCAAAGATCCCTGGAGTACTCCATTAGAGACCCTTCAAGTTGGAATCAAGTCATTAATACCAATGCTTTGGATCCAGCCAGTTCTGAGCCCAACTAATGATGGGCCAGACCCATATAGTTCCATATTACCCATAAAGACAAGCCTTTCTCAAAGATTTGGGAGCTCATTGGGCTTCCCTAGTACCTTTCCTTGTCACTTCCCATTTTAGTTAAGTTATATGGCCTGGCTTTTTAAGTCTTGCCTTATATTTGATAAACAAAAGGGGCTATTACTTTATAAAAATAATTATTCTGAATTTAACAAACACCAAGTTAAATGTACATTTCCACATATGCAGTAGAATAGGGAAAAAGGAAAGTATGTGAAACTACAGATTTCTATTAAGTATACAGCTTGTTTTTCTTTCAAAGTATATTAATTGATCAATGAATAAACATTAATTAAGTGCCTACTATGTGCCAAGCACTGGGGATTTAAAAAGAGGCAAAAGCCAGTTCCTGCCCTTAAGGAGCTTACAGTGTAATAGGGTAGACAATTTTCTTTTTCTTTTTTTTAATGTGAATATTTATTTTTTAAATTTAGTTTTAGTTTTCAACATTCACTTCCATAAGCTTTTGAGTTTTAAATTTTCTTCTCCTCCCTCCTCACTTGCCTGCCTGAGATGGCATGCAATCTGATATAGGTTCTACATATATATTCCTATTAAACATATTTTCACATTAGTCATGTTGTAAAGAAGAATTAGAACCAATAGGAGGAACCACAAGAAAGAAGAGACAAAACAAAACAGAAAGAAAAAAGAGCAAATAGTAGTATGCTTTGATATGCATTCAAACTCACATTAGTGATGTTGTAAGGAAGAATTAGAACTCATAGGAGAAACCACCAGAAAAAGGAAACAAAACACAACAGAAGAAAAAAAATAGCAAATGGTATGCTTCTATCTGCATTCAAACTCCATAGTTCTTTCTTTGGATGTGGGTAGCATTTTGCATCATGAGGCCTTTGGAGATGTCTTAGATCCTTGAATTGCTGAGAAGTGTTGAGTCTGTCAACATTAGTCATCACACAATGTGGCTGTTACTGTGTACAACCTTCTCCTGGTTCTGCTCACTTCACTCAGCATCAGACCATGCAAGTCTTTCCAGGTTTTTCTGCAGC